ATGCTGTACTTTGGAAAATGTCCCATGTGCAGCTGAGAAGAATGTATATTCTGATGTGGTTGGATGCAACTCTCTGTAAACATTCACTAAGTCCACTGGCTCACAAGTGTGATTCATTTCTGTTATTTCTTTGCTGACTTTTTGTCTAGTTGATGTGTCTCTTTGTGACAGTGGGGTGTTAAGGTCTCCTATTACAATTGTGTTAGTATGTATTTGATTTTTCATGTCCACTAGTGTTTATCATTTATAGTTGGATGCTCTTGTATTTGGTGCATATATATTTATAATTGTTAATTCTTCCTATTGTGGTTTTCCACCTACAAGTATGTAGTGGCCTGCTTATCTCTTTTAGTAATTTTGGGTTTGAATTTCACTTTTTCTGAAAACAGAATAGCTACCTCTGCTTTTTTCTGGGTTCCTGTTGCATGGAATACTCTTTTCTATCCTTTGATTTTTAGTCTATGAATTTCTTTTTGAGTCAGATGTGTTTCTTGTATATAGCATATTGTGGGATCATGTTTCTTTATCCATTTGTCATCCTGCTTCTTTTGACAGGTTAATTGAGCCTGTTTACATTTATGGATATCACTGATATGTACTGGCTTGACTTTGCCATTTTGTGTTCCTGTTGGTGGTTTCCTGTTTTCCTCCCTTGTTTAATTTCTTGCCCAGCCTGGTGGTTTCTTTCTGTTGTTGTTCTGGAGATTGTAGTCATCTTTATCAGTATCTAGTATGTCTCTCAGTACTCTTTCTAGGGTTGGTTTGGTGGACATGGATTTCTTCAGTTGTTCTTTGTCATGGAAGTATCTGTTTTTCCATTTAATTTGAGATACAGTTTTGCTGGATACATCAGTCTGTGTTGAAAGTTGCTTTCTTTTAGGGCTTGAAATACTTCAAGCTTGTCCTAACTTGAAATCTGCCACGATTGTAATAGGCTTTCCTTGATAGGTGAGTTGTGTCTTTTCTCTAACAGCTTTTAGTATTCTGTTTTTATGTTGGGTGTCTGGGATGTTAATTATTGCATATCTGGATGTAGATTTATTTTGGTTATGACTGTTTGGCATTCTATATGCCTCACTTAATTGTATGTCAGATATTTTCCCTATGTGTGGAAATTTTCTCCTATTACTTCTGTGAACAGCTTAGTTATGTTCTTTGTGTTGTCTCCTGCATCTTCACTGGTGCTTATTAATCTTACACTGTTTCTCTTGGTGTCATCTTGAAGCTGCTGGATTGTCATTTCATTCTGCTTTGTTGTTTTTATCAGTTCTATCTTTTCATGGTCACTATCTGAGATCCTGTCCTTAAGGTCTGAAATTCTATCCTCAGCTTCATTTAAACGGTTTTGCCAGCTTTGAATAGAATTTTTTGTTTCTTGAATATCTCTCTGAATTTGTTTCATGATTCTGCTTGTTTTCTACATTGTTCATTCAATGTTTCAATCAATTGCTGATGTTTTTTATTTTATCTATTTCTTCCTTAGCTATGTTGGGCAAATCCTTTACCTTGTTATTTCTATCTTTAAGTAAAACACTACTTCTAATTTGATTTCTTCTATAGCCTCATGGATTTGTTTCTTTACTTCATTTGCTATCTTTTAAGAGATTTCTGGTGTGTGACTTTTAAAGCCCTCCATTTCAGTGTCACCTGTTCTTGCACCCAGTGGACTAGATGTCTGAGATTGTATTTTGGTATTTTGTTTTGTCACTTTCACCTTCTGGGCCAATATATGGTTGTTTAATCCCAATAGTCACAACTATGGACAGTGTGTGTCCTAGGGTCCTATGGTGTGGTTGATGTCTGCCTGAATTTTGGGTACATTGTGACAGGAACTTGCCAGGGTCCACTGTCTGAGCAAGGGGCCACCAAGTTTCCTGTCAAATCAGCACTGCCAGCCTACTGCAATTCAAGGTTCTGGGAGGGAGAGTGGGAGCCAAATGTTCATAGCAGTGCTTGGTGTAAGAGATGGGGAGGGTGGCTGAGGACAGTGGGTTGAGTCAGTGGGTGTGGTGGTCGTCTGGGTCAGCACCCAGGAGGAGCATGCTGGGTTGCAGGCATGGCTCCGTGGCTGAGCTGACAAGGAGCATGGCAGTTGTCCTCTGGTTGGTGGCAGTGGGAGGGAGGCAGCTGAGCCAGAGTGGAGCTTGGTGGTTTTCCTCTGTATGGCAGTGGCAGGGAGGGCAGAAGTGCACAGGCACTCAGTGGCCCATGCTGGAGCAGAGCTCAGTGTTCTTCTACTCAAGGGCTGCTTCAGGGGGGCACAGGCATGCCCAGTGGCCTGAGCTGGGGCAGAGCTTGGTGGCTGGGTGGAGCTCGGCATCTTCCTCCACCCATTGGCAGCAGGGAGAGGGAAGGGGCCACTGAGGTGAGCAGGCATGCTCAGGGGCCCTAGCCCAGGTGGAGCTTGGTGGCTGCCTCCACGCAGGGGGCATTGGGTGGGTGCTGAGGTGCACAGGCACTCACAGCAGCCTGAGCCAGGGTGTTCTTCCTCCACTGGGGGGTGGTCTGGTTGTTTTCTACAGTAAGGCCATTTTAAAAATTTTAACCCACAAATCAGGGGATGTTTTTATTTGTGCAATGTTACATTTATTTTATAGTGTTTTCATAGTTTTCTTTATACTGATATTTCCACATTTTGCCTCCTTGATTAAATTTATTCCAGATGATTATATGCTATTTTAAATAGGATAATTTTTAAAATTCTTTTTTGAATTTCTTGTTTTGGGTGTACAGAAATATTACTGACTTTTGCAGGTTGATTCTGCAACCTGAATATTTCTTTATCAGCTTACAAATCTTTTTCACTTAAATTGTTCATCAGTCATAACAGGTTTTTGGTGCAGTTGTTTAGTTAAACAAATAGAACGATTTTCCTTCTTTATATTCTATGAGGGTGTCTAAACTCTTGTTTCTTGCTTAGTTTTTTTTTATTCAATTATTCAATTATTATGTGGAATAGAATTGTCAAGAGAGAATGTCCTTGTCTTGTTTCCAGTTTTAGAGGAAAGCCTTCTGCATTTCCCCATGGAGGATGACATTGGCGGCATTTGAAAAATACTGCCTTTATTGTGTTAAGGTGCATTCCTTCAGTACCTATGCTTTTTCAGAAAACTTCACAAAGGATGAGAAAGCAATATAGATCCAAGAAACCAAGAAAGACCTAATAAGATACATCCAGTGGGACCTACACGAAGACCTTACAATCTAATTGTCAAAAGTTAATGACAAAGAGATACTATTGAAAGTTCTAAAGGATAAAACAGTTTGTCTAATACATGGAGACATTTTTATGACTCCTGGTGGATTTTATTTTTCAACAGAAATTTTGTAAATGTCAGTGTACCTGGCAGATTACTTAGAAGTACAGGACTTGTTCAATGCATTTATTCCAAAATGGCTTTATGTGTAGATGAAGTCAATATTTTTACAGATAACTTTTTATAATAAAATATTACCAAAGGTAGACAAATTAGATGGGAAATATAACCTAAAAAGTTCACAATAATTTGATAATAATAGCTTGGTGAGACGAAAGAGAAGTCCAAGTTATATTATTTGGTCATATGCTGAGAATCTGTTACAATTTTTGGAGTAAAACCAAATTGTAAAATAAGGAAATTGTAGTTCCCTCTAGAGGCTTACCTAGAATTCTCCATAGAGTTTGAATGATGGAAATGTAGGAAAGAATTTCCTACTGTTCTGGGCTATATTTTACTATAAATTTTAACAAATTTATTTGTATAACTATTTTATCTATTTAGCCAACATTTATCAAGCATTAGATATTGTGCTACTGTGTGGCAACTATTTTTCTGGTAGAAAAGTACTTGGAGGGGCATAATTTTATAATAAATAGACATCTCTGCCTGCCATTCAATGTTATTTGGAGTCATCATTCTTTCTGATAGGTTATTGGCATAAGATAGGAGACATGGGCAATCCAAATGGCTCAGAGGTTTCCAAAGAAATTCAAAACAATAGCATATAGTTCATTAGTTACTCACTGGTGATTAGATAATCCATTGCCTCTGTAACCTTAAGCCAGTTAGCTATCACAATGTCTTACTTAGGAAACAGATGACCATTAGATATGATAAATAAAAACAAGTGGCAGCATTAATGAAACACTATTCTATTTTTAGTAATACAAAATGAATTAGTATACACTGCATGCCAAATATACATGCTTGGTTTAAAACATTAAGTAGTATTTTCATTCAGACTATAGTATCATTCATATGATAGAGTATCATAGCAGTTAACTATATAGGATGGGAAATCAACAATGTTTCAGATGTTGGCTTATAAATATATCTGTTTTGATAATGTCCCTTTTATTTCTGTTTCCTCATCTATAAAGTGGGGACAACAGAAATCCTCTTTGGAGTACTATAGATTATTTCTCAATATCAATGCATTTCATTATTTTATATTAGAGTAAAACCTAATGCATACATTGAACTACTAGTTAAATTTATCTTATATGAGATTACATATGTACATTATATATGATATCTATATATGATATAGATATGACAGATAGTATATATATATGATAGATAAATTGAAAGTAGGGACAAGTTCAAATAATTGCTTAAACTACCCACTCTTCCACTTCGAAAATATTTTAATATATGCTAATTTATTTTATTAGCACTACTAGTTTCTCTTAGTTCATTGAAAAAAAAGTTTTGTGCTATTATATATTTTTTGTAGGAATGAATCTTTTTTGTCTATGTCTTGTACTCTACTTTTAAAGTAAACTGCTCTTATTCTCTCATTTTGTTATGAAATTTCATAAAATTTAAACCCTAATTTGGTAGAATTTTCTATATACAGAGTAGTCCTGGGTTAGGTTTTCTCCTCTTTCTTACACCATTTCTGCTCCTTTCAATGAACAATCTGTAAATTATCCCAACTGATATTCTCTGCATCTTGGTGACTTCATTTGTCTTGTCCTTTTGACTTGCAGCTAAGTTAATATTGAGCATCAGTAACACTTATTTGTCATCTGAAAGAGCATTACAGCTACATAGCTTCTTAATGGCATTTTTCATCTGAGCATTTCTTAAAGTATAGATTAAGGGGTTTAACATGGGAGTTATCATGGTGTAGAACACAGCAACTGCCTTATCAATGGGTAAAGTAACTGCCGGCCTCACATATACAATGATGCAGGGGACAAAGTATAAGACAACCACTGTGATGTGAGAGGCACAGGTGGAGAGAGCTTTGCTCCTTCCCTCCAGCCTGTGGGTTCTTAGGGAGCGCAGGATGACCATGTAAGAGACCAACAGCAGGAAAAATTGTAACAGGCAGATGAAACCACTGTTGGCAGCACCAAATAATTGCAGTCTGTGGGTATCAGTGCACGCCAGGTTAATCAAGGGGTTCAGATCACACATAAAGTGATCAATGACATTTGGGCCACAGAATGGCAGTCGGAAAATGAAGAGGATCTGTATGGTTCCATGAAGAAAGCCTCCCACCCATGATACTATTATTAGCAGGCTGCACACTCTCCGCTTCATGATGGCTGTATAGTGCAAGGGCTTGCAAATGGCCACATAGCGGTCATAGGCCATCACAGTCAGCAGGATGACCTCAGCACCTCCAAAAGAATGTCCCGCAAAAACCTGGGTCATGCATCCATTGAGCAGAATGGTCTTCTTTTTGTGGAGTGAATCTACAATTAGTTTAGGAGTAAAGACAGAGGAGTAACAGGCATCAATGAAGGAGAGATGGACCAGGAAAAAGTACATGGGAGACTGTAACAACGGGCTAGCAGTGATGATGACCATGATGAACACATTTCCTGCCATAGTGATGACGTAGATGGTTAAAAACACGGTAAATATGACTTTCTGCATCTTTGGGTTCTCTGTAAGCCCCAGTAGAACAAACTCTGTCACATTGTTCCTGTTCTCCATTTATTTCATGTGATGGTTAATTAAATTACTTGAAAAACTTAATGCAACCGTGAATGAATTGATTAAATATCCATTTTAATTAGTAATGAATGTCTGTATTCTATCAGGCTATGAATTCTTTCTTTGTTCTGTTTCGGAGATAAGAGTATTGCTACATATTTTAGGTTGGTCTCGAATTCAGTATAGTGCAGACTGTCCTTAACTCATGTTGAAATTCCTGCCTCAGATTCCCAAGTGGATTACAGGCACACACAACAAGCTGTGAAAAATTAGGAGACAGAAAGAAGAGTGTGATTTCCTGAAGATCACCCAAAGTGCCTTCTGGGAGAAGGCTTTGTTACAAATGTGCATACAAGAAAGTTTTGTAAGCACACACGACAGGGCCTATGTGTGTGCATGTAACCATCTGCAATCATTGAAAGTAGTGGATTTTGTCCAAGTAGCATCTCAGCCTGAAAAGAGAGGGTGATAATGAATGCAGAATTCATTAATGGCAATTTTTTGCCTGTCTCTTTAAAAGTGCTGCACCTTTGAGAGGGAACAGATAACATGAATGGAAAGAGGGACTTCAACAAGCAAAATCTTAGATATCATCCTGGCAAAGTTGTTCATGGCAGGAGGTTTGAGGTTTAGTTAGTGAGCAGAAGGAAACAGCAGTTCTGCTATTTGGAGTAGCTGACATCAATACGAGGGCATTGCTGTTGGGAATATAAAGGAGATGAGGCTATCACAGAAGAGTTTATAAGACTTACTGCTAAATCTAATTACAACAGTGAATAATATGTACTTTTATATTGTCAAGTTCTATGTGATGGTGCAGTGCCCAATTATTGGCATGCAAGATCCTAATCAACACTTATAACAGTGTGTGTGGTTAGTGCTGTTTAATGAATTTTGCAAGTAGCCAAAACTCACAGAGCAAATGCTGCTAGACCTAATAACCACAACGATGTCACGTAAAACTACTAAATGCTTACTGTATTTTATCAGAGACATTGCTTGATTTATTTCTCATTGCAACATTAGAAGATGATTGCCACGATGATTTTTATTGATTTCACACATTAGAAAATAGGAGTTCAGAAGTTCACAATTCTGTACAATACAAGCAGGTAATCAAGGGCGGAGCCAAGGTGAATTATCAGTTTTTAAAAATGTTTTAAATTTCAAATTCTTACTCCATCTCTCATAGTGTTATACTATATGAGAATGCACTCATTTTTTAATATGAACATGAAAATTATAATTATTTTAATGCTATTTTAGAGGCACATTTGTATGGACCATTTTCATTAGCATGCACATGTACACTTAATGACATCTTGAAACATACAGATTTTAAGAAAAATGTGGTTTGTGTTCAGTGAAGAACCTTCTATTTGGTCCCTCTCACCATCCCATTTATCCTTTTTCTGAAAGCATTCAGAAACTCAGGCTCCCAGACTGTACTCCAAAATACTGAAAAAGACTTCAGAGTGGTTATAAATATGTTGGTTATAGAATATCCAAACTAGATTAGAATCTTTGTTTTTTTTTTTTTTTTTTTTTTTTTTTTGGCATTACCGGGGATCAAACTCATGCCCTTGCACTTGCCAGGCAGGCGCTTACACCACTGAGCTAAATCCCCAGCCCAGAATTCTTGCTTTTCTATCTGAAATTTCATTTATCCTGGCAAGTTGCATCATTATTTCCTCATCTACAATGTGAAAATAAAAATATGCATCTTACAAATTGTTGTGAAAATGAGAACTATATAAGGAAACATTCACCACAGGAGGGTAGACTCACCTAGGACTTGCATTTATTTTTATGAGCCTAAAAGATATTCTTAGGACATAGAAGGGACTGACAGTAGAGCAATAATAGAGAAATGTTGAATCATCCAACACAATCAGAAAGAATCATCTTAAATATCAGTCCCGAGGAAGCCACAGAAACTCCTGTTATCCCCGGTAGCTGATATCCAGGAAGTTTATCCATATTTACACATGGACTAAAACACCTGTTGATTTATGCCATTTAATATTCTTATTTGAGTCGTTTGTTACGTGAAATGTATTTCAATTCATTTTGAAGATTTGTCTTGATTATTAAGAAGGAGTTTCACAGAAAATTCATGGTACCTAATTTCAGAGGGGCAGTTACAACAAACTGGTTAATTCTATGAACCTCAACGTTTTAACTGACTACTGAGTCATGTGAGTGATACCAATTATATTTCATAGAACTAGAATGAGGATAAAAATATCCATTATTGTATTTAAATGGTGTTGAAAAATAATTATTACTATATAAGGAAAGCAAGAATCTTTTGTAAACATCAGTACTCCTGGAAAACTTACCTTAGTTGTCTTGAAACATTTCAGCGATGTTTTGAGGTCTTCACATATCATCTCATCTTCATGTTCACTTCCTCTCAGACTAAGTCATCTTAAATATGACAGACATGTTGCACTTAAAAGACACAATTTGGATAGTTTGATATCAAATCAATAGTTGTTAAAGACTATAAATCTAAATCTTCTCTCCTATCCTAAAGGCTCAAAACAGTTTCTCAGAAAAGTTGGGGCTTGAAGTTTTAATATTTTTACTTGGAATATTACGGAAAAGTGACATTCTGAGCAAAGGTATGGTTTGCTACAGGACAAAAAGAAGAGGTAGATGAAATAAATTTAGATGAGTCACTCTACTCATGATAAATCTTGAGTCTGGAGATACTGACAAAAGATATTTGCCTCATATGTTTAAAGAGGTTTCTACCAAATTTCAAGAAATTTCTCTTATAATGACTGGGATCTCTCCCAGGAATTAATGATCTAATTTGATGGAAAGGCTTTATCATATAATCAGATATTCTGGAGAGATACATTTGGGAAAAACATATTTTTGAATGGGGAATTGTATTCCCTACCTTGAGAACATAAGTGTATGGGTTCCTTTCTCCCTGTGTCCTTGAGTTGTTAAGAAATTGAATGCCATGTAAATATTAGGGTGGTATAAATCCAACATGGGAAAGTTTGTTTCAATTTCTTTGATAAATCATGCCACAGAAAGAGTTTTGGTTTGCTCAACAATATTAAAAGTCTTCTGGAAGCCTCTGACTGATTGTTAAAGATTTAGGGCAATTAACACATAAAATTAATAGCATCCATTGTAAAGTACTTGACTCCAAAATCTGTTAGTTTCCCACCACCACTCTTGCTTTATTGAGATATATTATATTTGATAAATGAAATTTGTTTATGCTTAAGTTCTACTACTCAGTGTTTGACATGTATGTGCAATGTAAAATCATCATCACAAGCAAGTTCATTAACATGTCTACCACTTTGCATAGTTAACATTGTTATATTTTAGTAGAGAAAAACTTAGATCTATCTTCCCAAATTTCTTCCCAGAAGAATTAAAGATAGCATTTCACAGTGACACATGCATACCAATGTTTATAGCAGCATAACTCATAATAGCTAAATCTTAGGGTGTATTTATATCTATACATATATATATATATATATCAGTAGATAAAGAAAAATTGGTATATATACACAATGTAGTAGTACTCAGCCAAAACAAAGAATTAATTTGAGTCATTTGTAGAAAAATGGATGGATCTTGAGATCATAATATTAAGTGAAATGAGCGAGACACTATTTCACAGTTTATCTTACATGAGGGAATCAAAATAAAAATAATTTAAAGAGCAGAACAAAAGATGGTAGAAGACAGGGAGGAAAAATTTGGGGAAATGGAATGGGAGTAAAATGATTCAAGATTTGATACAATATGCACCAATTCCCCATGATGAATACAATTATTTGTCTTACTAATACAATGTGACTAATACAAATTATAAAAAATAAAAATTCTTAAGAATAAATCTAACAGACTATGCAACATGAGCACCCACCTTGAAATTCGTACCTTGGGTTCAAGACTTATTATAACAATATGATAATAAAGATTGTGTACTTTTGATGCAAATGTAAAATTACACATTTGTGGAACTTAATAGAGAATTTTGAAATAGATCAGAATATGTAGGATTGATTTCTACAAAAACTTGTCAAAGCAACCATATGGATAGCAATGAAAGTTGTTGGCTAAAGTTAGTATTCATGTAGATGACAATGAACCTTAGTTTTTAAATCACAGCATAGAAATATTAATTTTAAATGAATCATATTCTTAATGATAAAAATGAAAAAGAAATCTTGTGTAAGAAAACTGGAGTTTTCCTTACAGACTTAGTCTTAATAAATATTTGACAGTCTGCTGCAGATCAGATTTTAAATACAAGTAGCCATACCCAAATGCCTACAATAAAATATAAGTGAATCTTGTGTGGTCTGAGGTTCATAACTTTTTTCTTGGGAGTAAAAAATAACTGTTATCATAAAGTACATATGAACATACCTATTTTCAAATTTTTGCTGATCAAAACTTTAAAATGTGCATAAAGATAAGCAATAAACTAGATAATATTTATAAGATTATTATTTATAATAATAAAATCATGAAAATAAATTTTGAAAAAAAGACAATGGATAAATGGGCAGAGGAAGTTGAGTCAAGATTTCAAACAAAGAGAGAAAAAGAAAGTGCTCTAAAGGATACAACAGCAAGTGTGGTTAAGTGTGTAAGATAGATGACCATATTACTAAGTTTTTGTTGCATCATTGAACACAACTGTTTGCAATCTCACTGTTTGAATGTCCACTTTGTATGCTTTAATTTTGTAACTTGAACAACTATTTTTAAGATGACAATATGTAATCTATTAACTAGTGATTTCTTACTGTTTATTTTTTTTGAAATTCTGTATTACTTGTACCCTTTTACTTTTTTTTCTTTAAATAAAATTTTTAAAAAAGATTTCAAACAAACACAAGTGGTGGTTGTTACTGGCCTGCATATGAAATGTCCCCTGAGGTCTCGTGTATGGAAGTGTTTAGAAGCCAAATCAGTGTGCAGAAATGGGGCTTCTGAAAGCCGATTGAATCCCAAGGGCA